GTTGGGGAGGAGTCAAATAATATACAGTAATATATGGCGACGTAATTTATACCACACTAGCAGTACTTCTAAAGTTAAAAACTTTTTAGACTGTAAAATATGTTTTAAATGAAATAAATTGTATTGTAAATAAAAGTGTTTTATAAATTATTGATAATTTAAAAGAAGCCATAAATGACTCAATCAATGTAATGATGTCTGAGTTGAAAACGAGTGGTTTGAATACCACTGAGCAGTCACTCGAACACAACTATGAGGTGGACAGCGAGACAGTGTCTGCTTCACCGACCACTCCATCCGTCACACCAACCAAATCACCAATGGTTAAGAAAATTAAAAAGGAAAAGAAAATCAACCTTAAGCTGAAGTGTGGCGCCTGTGGGGCAGTCGGACACATGCGTACCAACAGAGCGTGTCCTCAGTTCAAAGGCGTTGATATCATACCTCCGGTTGAGGTGGCGATGACTGAGGAGGAGAGACACGGTCTGAATGAAGACCATTTGGTGAAAGTGGACGAAACCAAAGTCGTTCCCTCGAAGTCACTCATTAAACATATGGATGAAGTGAATAGTATGGCTCTGAAGCTGAAGATCCTGAAGCAAGCGCTCAGTATGAAGAGGCGGCGCAGAGCTGGGACTGTCGATCACTGCGATTACCTCCAGAAACCCGACTACAAGTCGGCCAACAGAAGACTCACCGATCCGTTGGTCACACTGTCGGACATTTTAGAGGAAGTGTTGAATCAGATGCGAGACTTACCCGACACACAACTCTTTCACCTCCCGGTCAACGCCAAAGTGGTTCCCGATTATTACAAACTCATCAAAAATCCTATGGATTTGCAAACCATTCGTAATAAGATTCGCGAGAAGAGGTTCTTCTGTAGAGACGACTTCCTTCAAGATGTCAACCAAATCGTCGAGAACTCGAGGCTTTACAACGGAATCAATCATTCGCTCACTTTTACAGCACAGAAAATGATGGAAATGTGTCTCAAGAGGTTCAAAGAGATGGAGGACAAGTTGATGCGCATCGAGAAGGCTATCAATCCGTTGCTCGACAACGATCAGGTCTGTCCTCCCTTTCCTTTTCATATATGCGATGATTGTATGACCAATGGTATGATTGACACGAATAGGTGGCCTTCTCTTACATACTCGAGAATATAGTGAACCAACGCCTGAAGACAATACCCGAGTCGTGGCCTTTCCATAAACCGGTGGACAAGAAGTTTGTCAAAAACTATTACGAAATCATCGAAAATCCGCGATCTTTCGAGTCGATCGAGAAGTCCATAAAACAACATAAATATCAATCACGCGAGCAGTTCATCGACGACGTGGAACTCATACTGAAGAATAGCGAGCGATACAACGGCGCCGACAGTCAGGTCACGAAGAAGGCGGTCGAGATCATTGAGACGGCCAAAGAGTGGTTCACAGTATATGACGAACAGCTGACAGTCCTCGAACAGGCCATCGTCAACGCCAAGGAGAAGGCGCCCGACGCCGTCATCACCGGCTTCTCCAAAGACGGCGCCGAAGACGTGTCGACTCGTCCGCCCTATTCGGCGGCGTTGAGCTATAGAGACACCGACGACAACGCTGTCGACTATTTCGATGAGAACAGCGAATCCAATGCTTTGGACGACAAGAACATTAGACATTCAGTGGTTAACGAACTGGAGATGAGTCCCGAAAATAGTGATAACGAAGAGATGGAAATCGTGGCCAACGATAACGATGAGGAAGAGGTGATCCACGAGAGCTACAATCCGTCGGAGTTCTTGTTCGAGAGGTTCTCTAAACCACAGACAGAACCGCAATCGTCCGCCGCTTACACCCCTTCCATACCATTCCCCTCGCAGTCGTCGGTTATGAATGTGTCCAACGATTTGCCGGTTTCTGACTCCGACTCCAATCCCAATCTGCAAACCACTGATGAACATAACGAATGGGAGGACATCGAAGAATACTTTGAATATAAATTCTTAGACGTATTAGATGACACCGAAGAAGATTATATCGAAGACGAGAATATTGAAAACGATATGTCAAATAAGTTGACAACAACTATCACTAAAGTATTAGCTGATGAAGGAGAGCAAGGTAAATATATTAAAGGGAAAGTCACCCGTTTGGTCGTAATGTGCGGTCCGAGGGATGATCTCTTTGGCGAACTTTTGGGCCAATTCTTGCAGTGATTTCTGCTCTGAAGTCAACTCAAAGTTAAAACCACTTGTCATTTGACTGCTATTTAAACGTTTCAAACATTATATGTCAAACACTTTGGATTTCGTAATAAACTTATTATTTTTATTTACAGAAATATCAAATATTTTAACCGATAAAACGAATACAAAGAAAACAAAACAACACAAAACAAAACCAAAGAAAACCTATCAAAAGATAGCCAATCCAGTGAGAGAATTAATAATTGATAATATGAATGAAGGAATGCCACCAAAACAAATTCAAAAAATTTTTAAAATTAAGAATAAATCAACTATTCATAATATCTTTACAACATTCAAAAAGACTAATATTAAAATTAAGCGGACGGGTGGACATCGAAAACAAATGCTTACAGAAATTCACAAACAATACATTAAAGAATGCATTGACAATTGTCCGCAAATCACAATTAATCAAATTCTACAGAAAGTGAAAGGTAAATTTATTTTTTAGGAAAAACTAAAAACGTGTAAAAGATTGGTGTCTGTGGTTTCAAACGGCGCAGTCTTTGGCGGCGCGCGACGGCCGCAGCTGTTGTCCAATGAAGGCGCTCTTCAATTCTGATTAATTTGAATCCAATTATAAATATAGATGATAAATTTGTAGCTAAACAGTATAAATTTTTCAATGATCCCTTAATACTAATCATTTATAAAGAATTTATAAGTATTATTCATTAGGTCTATAAAAAATTAACAAAAACTATGAAACTTATTACAGATAAATTCTCTGAAATACCCCAAACAATGAGTATAACGCCGATCAAAAATGCTGTTAAGGAATTGGAGTATACACGAAAGAGAATTACAAGAATTCCTGCAGCTCGCAATTCGGACAGAACTATTGAATTGCGGTGCAATTATGCCATAACATATGACAGCATTAAAGACAGCAATGAATACATTTGTTTTGTTGATGAGTTTGGCATTCAGGTATTTATGAATGTTGGAAATGAATGTCATTTGTATTTGATTTGCATAACGAAAGGCCAGGTCTTAGTGAAGCAGTGGATGAGTCGGGTCTGACACACGTGTCAGCCGGGAAGTCAGGGTAATCCCGTATCACCAGGCTTTAGTCATATCACTTATATTAAATGATATCTACCGTATATTATGATAAAAACTTTAATACCGTTTCCTGCATATAGGTAACCACAAGATTAAGTTACGGGAGATCAAAAAAAGGTACCCGTGCTTGTAATACAGTCACACAATTAAGAACAAAGAACTATAGTGTTTGTGCTGCTATGGATAAGAATTCTTTGATTTATTTTGAAATTCTTAAACAATCTTATAATAGAATAAGATTTGCTGATTTTTTGAGAGGATTATTTCAAACTTTTATCTCAAAAAATATTAATAACGCGAATATAATTATGGACAACGTGGCATTCCACAAAGTTCCCGAGGTTATTTCACTAATTCGGGAGAATGGACACATGGAGAGATTCTTAAGCCCATACTCTCCGATGTGCAATCCCATTGAGGAATGCTTCAGGTATATTCTGTGTATATATTCTGTATATTCTATATACATTCAGTATATATTGTTTTATATTTTTTAGTCTATGGAAGCACTATATAAAACAATGCGAATCTCAAACACCTGAAGAATTATTTGAGAATATCGCTATCTGTTCCCATAAGATATTACCAAAACATTGTCAAAGCTATGTCACACACATGGAAAGAGACTATCTTCCACTGTGTAGAGCTAAACTTGAAATTAAATATTAATTTTTTGCATTCAATCGGCAATTTCGTATGAATTTAGGACCATTTTTGCGTGAATGACAATGACATCAATGAACTCGATTTAAATGCTTTTATTTTTCAAATACACACAAATATATTTATATCTATATTTTGAATTCATTTAGTTTTTTGTATTAATAATTTAATTATTCATTGAAATTGATAATTGTTTTCGGTTTGTTGTTTTTGACTGTTTTTTAAAGAAAAGAATCAATTTTTCGAATGAATTAAAAGTTAAAAATATGTATTAAAATGTTTTTGTCCGAAGAATAGCGATGAATATCAACCAATCGATCGCATTAATTGCCATAAGTTTTGGTAATTTCCTTTCAGTCATTTATGACTATTTATATTATCTTACATTAAGAAGTCTACGAATACTATGATTTGTAAAGTAAATTTGGTTTGATATTATTAGACTAAAACAATTTAATTACAATTAAGTACTGACGTAAGCGTTTTTTAAATTAAATACCTTTTGTTAACTATAAAAAAGCATTCATTTGTCATTAAAATTAAATTTTGTTTGAAAATCAAAGCAATTATTGTATGAAATATTTTATTAAAATATGACAAGTTTTTAACTTTAGAAGTACTGCTAGTGTGGTATAAATTACGTCGCCATATATTACTGTATGTTATTTGACTCCTCCCCAACAGTCCACAAGCATTAATCTTTTGATGTATACTGTACAGTGAGGTCTGACGTGTAGACTGTTTATTACAAATATAGTATACATTAGCTCTGGTGTACAGTAGATTAGCCTCCAAGTGCTGGAATCGTGTAATAGAGTACTAGTTATAGAACTTTCGAAAGTTTCAAATAAAGTTTTAGTCGATTATTAGCTATCAAACTGAATAGTCACTCACACGGCTCTACCACCCCTTCATCGGTCGACACATACTTGTTATTAGTATAACTGTATAGACGTATGCTTTCATAATCATTGAAATCTTGTATTCAAATTCAAGTCAATCCATTGTCAGCTATAAAGATCCGATAAGCGAGTACAGTGTCCCGGCCTTACCTGTAGCACAGAAATGAATGGATTATCTGGTGATGAGCTGAGTGGTGGTGAAGTGAAGTTGGAGTCGGGATCGCCACCAGCCGATGATACGTTGGGTGAGAGTGTAGGCAACGGTGCAGGAGGTTTGTGGTGGCCTCACAATCAAACACCTGTTGTCACGACAGCCGCTGCCTATGACTTGAGTGGCAACGGAGTGATCAGTTCTGTCGCCTCCAGAGTCGCTCGTTTGAACGACACCTCAAATATGATTAATTACGACTGGGATCCAGAGGCACACCATCATAATGTGATCCAATTGTCGACAACGCCCACCACTATGACGACTACCACTTCGTCCAACTCTAGTAACATAATAGGCATCCATTCGGCCGATAGTTATATAAATTATGGCCAAAACCAGAACCAGAATGAAAACCCATTGCAATCGCATCCACAACAGACTCAACAAGTGGTGATCCGATCGCAGCATCAGGTGAACCACAAGCGAAGCAGCTCTGGATGCGAGGGAGGGATACCTGACCTGTTTTCGCCGACTGAGGGTCGGGAGTGTGTTAATTGTGGTAAGCATTGAATGCATGCAAATATATGTCCAAACAAACTGTTAACGCTATTTCGCAACGATTTCTAACAATTTTTTTAAAGTTGACTTAAATTATTCTACAAAAGGAGCCATTTCTACACCGTTATGGCGCCGGGATGGCACCGGACATTATCTGTGCAATGCATGTGGACTTTACCACAAAATGAATGGAAACAATCGACCACTTGTTAAGAATCAAAGGCGGCTAACAGTAAGACATTTATTATATAAGATATTTATTACATAAACAAATTCTATGGTATATAACGCTAAGTGACTATTGAATAGTTGATTCACTATTCTGTTCAACACATCAACACTTGAATTGCACTCATATTCTGACTGAATGTCTGTCTGTCTGTCTGTCTGTCTGTCTAATAGACACAATCAAGACGTTCAGGTCTTTCGTGTTCCAACTGCTCGACGACTAACACATCCTTATGGCGACGAAATGGTTTAGGAGAGCCGGTGTGCAACGCCTGTGGTCTATACTACAAACTCCATAGCGTTAACCGTCCGATCACTATGAAGAAGGACTCCATCCAAACCCGCAAACGAAAGCCTAAACAACAGGCCTCAGGCCAACAGTCCTCTCAACCACTGTCCACATCTCACTCACAACCCTATTCTATTCCATTGAAACTGGGAATGGGATTAGGAGTTGGCTCAGGCCTTACGGGCGCCCAGGGCTTCATCGCCGCACAAAACTCGACCCAAAAGGCACTGTCGGCGCGAAGTTACGTAAACTTCCCGACCATCACGTCTTTAGGTGCCGTACAACTGGCCGCACAATACCCGACCACATCTCCATACTATTTGAATAACACTA